GACACAATAGTTGTCACAGACCTCGACACGGATGATGGAGGTGGGGATAGGGGTTGATGGCTCGAGTATAGGGCCATGTATAATAGAGATATAAAAGTTGTGCTTCTTTGATCCTTCTTATATTATGACTTCAAATTAGAATCGCGAAAGTGACGGAATTGTATGTGTACAAGTGATTGCATGAAATCAAAATGAAAAGGGAGCTGAAGCGAAGGGAACATTCATGAGACTTGAGAGCATTCCATACGCAACGTAACTACTTTTATTTACAATTTTACCTCAAGAGAGGATTTTCTTGCAAATAATTACGTCTTACCTTTCACAATTAATATTGCTAGTACAATGTGCTAGATTGCCAAAGTCTACCGAACAACTTCTAGGCAATGTATTCACATGGTAAAGAGAACGATTCATACCATGGTCACCTGACATCGTGCCCGAGTGGTTAAGGGGAGTGATTAGAAATCACTTACGTTCTGCGTGCGCAAGTTCGAGTCTTGTCGATGTCGCTATGTTTTTGCTTCATTGATATGTATTTAGGTATAGGTCTCTCGTTTTGTTTATGGGGGTCAAGTTTTAGTTGGTTTTCGTTTTTGCTTAGGTAGGTATTCACTCGTCTTGACGTTGCGTTGTGTGCATGTGGCATGTGGTAAGCTACCTAGCCTCGACACCACCTACGCTATGTCTGACTCGAGCGGAGTTTTCTTTCACATGTCTCTTCGGCTCGTGAAGTTTTACATGTGTGTGCTTAAGTTTTCATGTGGGCGGTGGATGTGAGGGGTTGAGGGGTTTGGGGGTAGTTTTATTTGAGTTTTTGCTCGTGTCCAATGTCTTTCACAAATAGTGAATTTGGCATTGAGAGTGGTCACATGCATCGTGTTTTTTCGTAGTTTTTGTGAGTTGAATTAAGCTCACCTAGGTATGTGTGTGTATGTATGGAGTTTCCTTATAATTAGGTCTACACATACGTACAGAATGTGTGTACGTACCTGTGTACCTACCTATGTAGAGAGGGTGTGTAGGGAAGCTTAAGGTTTGTTTAAACATCTTCTATAAGGTGCAAGCTTAAGCTTGCTTCGACTCGGGATCCGGAATCCTTTAAATTTGTTGACGTATGTACTGAACTTCTACAGGCCTCCTCTACTACGTATACTACTTACACTGGACTATAGTTTGCGGAAGATTAGTGGAGTGAGGAGTTGTCGAGATCTACTCGACTGGGTATAACTTACAACGAAGGTACCTAGGTAGGTAATGAGGGGTCATGGATGTACCTAGGTATGTTGGGATAGAGTTAAACTCATTCTCCTTACTTCCTTCCGCCCTTACTTCCGCGGAGTTATGTGCGTCGTCCGTTGGACCCTTTCTTTGTCACGATAAAGTTTTTTCAGAGCAGTACATGCCGTCTAGTCTCGTTCATTTCATGTCTCATTATATATGGTATGAAGGTAAGGAGGGAAGGAAGTACATTGTTCATGAATATAACCGAATTGGGATAGAAATTTTCCCGTTCGTGGGTAGCCTTTTGGGTGAGGCGAGATATGAAGTTGCAATTACCTAGTCTCATGCCCAGACCTTCCTGTGGGGTAGGGAGTTGCAATTTGCACACCAGACTAAGATGCAATTAATTGGTGAGGGGTAGCTAAGTTGTGCCTTGTAAAGTCGAAGTCGACGTCCCTGGGGAAAAAGCAGGTATCCGTTGGGTGGGGGGGGGGGGGGGTAAATCCATGGCCAGTCTCGAGTTTAAATCCTATATATCAATTAATTTTTGTGGACGTCGACATGTGTGCGAGCACGAGTCTATATTGGAATTGGAAAGGAAAGTTCTAGCTCGTGAGGATATCGATGCTGTCAATAAATGTTCGGATATTGCTTTAATATTGCTAGACGATTTCAACTGACTTATGATTATTATCTATTGCAGGTAATTATTACTTGCACCCAATGGTATAATCGATTACCTACCTAGGTAGTGCAAATTGGTGCTCCCGGCTAGTCTGGTGTCTCCCGGCGGCATGTTTACTGGAATATTTACGAAAATTGCAATTCCGTGCGATCAGCTGGTATATATAGGTACGTACAAAATTCCGATTATTGAATGAATGTTAAGTATAAATCCTGGCCATCAACGTCAAATTCTACATTTTTTTATTCCTTTTCTCATCATGATCACGCGGGCTCTGAATTCCCGATGCCATCAGTTTTGGAAACTATTTGAATTCTAGCCTCCCCTAGGATTTATAGATACACCGCGAGCAAGCCTTTGGCACTCCGTACTCCCAAGTAGATTGCCAGCCTTGGTATCTTGATTTAGTGTGTGAATTCAAGCGTATTAACTGACGTCGTGCCCGAGTGGTTAAGGGGAGTGATTAGAAATCACTTACGTTCTGCGTGCGCAAGTTCGAGTCTTGTCGACGTCGTCATCTTTTTGCTTTTCTTTTACCTCGATGATCTGAATCTGACTCCGTATGCTTCCGTATGCTTGCTGCTGGTTGGAAATCCAGAAATTGAAAATGAACTTGATTGAATATGTACGTTCGATCGATATATGGAGTTGAGGGAAAACGATTTGCGTGCTCTCGGAAGAGAACAGGTCCTTACTGGTTTCGAGCTGCCATTTCAGCGTCTCATAATGAGGGCCTTCGTAATTCTAGGATTGCATCTGGCTGAATGTTAACGTTGAAGGAGCAGATGTGGAAGAGCTTAGAGCTTCTCTTTGATGTAAACCGTTTTTGACAGACGAAATGGTAGGAAAAATCAGGCATACATGTATACCCAGGTAGGCAATTCAATTACTAGTTTCAGCGCCAGCGGAATTCTTTAGCAAGGGATTTATTTGCATTATTGAATTTTCAATCATATTTGGGGTTTGATGAGATCAAATTCAGAAACTGATAGGTGATCGTGGGGCCCATCAGGTATGTACTGTATGTACATACACAAGACGTTTTTTATAATCGGTCATTTCTCATGATCAGGAAAATGAAATGAATATAGGGAGGGAGTTGAGCTCGAGGATAATAAATAATTCATTCCGTTTTGAGGGTAACGGTTACTCACGACTACATAAGTAGTCTGGTCTGTAATATCATTACCATTTCCGGCAATTAACGAAATTCCCGTTTTGACAGGCGGCGGCCTTGGCATGTTCACATACAACGAGAATAGTTCCATCCCTGTCTGTTAACCAAAATAGATGGCTACTAAAAACGTGTAAAACATGGATATCAAATGCAAAAAAAGATAATGGCGACGTCGACAAGACTCGAACTTGCGCACGCAGAACGTAAGTGATTTCTAATCACTCCCCTTAACCACTCGGGCACGACGTCATTTCATGTCAGTTGAGAGGATGTGTTGCTTTCGGACGCTCGGCAAACATTTCACTGGACAGACGTTTGTGCTAGTGATTTTAGTGATTTTTCCGGAGATTGTCAGAAGTATTCCAAGCGAATAATTGGGGTGTATAATTAGTGCGGACTGTACATACATGTGTCACACTAGGAAGTATGGGAAGAGGTATCCATTTTGTATAATTAAAGAGTTAGTTTTTGTTTTACACAAATCAATGCGGAGGTACCGGTGGGAATCGTTCCTTACCCTGAACTCAGTATTCTTTTCGCTGGACCTGGGAAACATTTTTACAGATTGTTTATCCGGCTTCATGATCAGTTGAGAGTGGAATCCTGTGTATCATACTAGGTAGGCTAGATGGAACGATAATGTATAGAGAACCTCATCAATGTAATAACATACTGACCTGGCCATGTATTTTTCACACACGGGAGGGGAGAAGGGGTGGATGATTTACCCTGAACTCCACATGGATTCGATCATTTACCCGACTCATGAGGTAAGGACTGGCAAAGGCTATTATGGCAACGAAAGCTGTAACTGGTGAACTTGGACGTACAGTCATGATCATGTGCCTATTTAATAAGACCTTTTCAACCTCTTTTATTCCTTGAACAAGATCTCGTGCCATTCGCAATCATAAAAAAAAGGATTAGGAAATATTCGGAAATATTGAAGTAGATACCTACTACCTAGTTCCTGAAGTGACTATGAATCATCATTCCCCAGCGGCCCCCAAGCTCAGCTAAAATAGAGGAGAGAAGGTAACCTAGCTAATGTAGAATTTAGGTCTCAATAATACACAACGGTAGGTGTGTAAGTGGAAGGGTTTTGAATTCAAGTTGTCGAAAGTATCCCCGGTAGTCCTTTCAGAAATCACATGCATCAGAAAAAGTAGCTACCTAGCATATTCTTTCGATTAACACCACCTCGAGCTCCATAGCTCTGATCTCAAGTAGAAATATCCACTATCAATTACCACTCATTCGAGCATCCTTTTATATGCAGTGTCAAAGTTATCGGAAATTCAACTACAGATCTATCAACTTGGCCGTAATGGAATCCAACCCCACCGCCCCATCATATCCCAACACCCCTACCTTGGCCATACATACCTAAACTTCACGATGTGAAATCGCTCCATCTGAACATATCAGCTGTCATCTCTTAAGCTTTCCCCCCAAAGTTACCCCACTTTTTCAAATTGACAGCTCTTGTCAACGAGAGTAGGTATCGACCCCACATGCAGCTGTAATCTCGTAACCCCCGCCAGGTGAATTCCACATCAGCCGTCATACTATTTCAAATCTAGGATCGATCCTTCGATATGAATAGAAATATAAATCAACTGGCCGGTATCCCTCGACCTCGCCGTGAAGCGCAGCCCTGTTGAACGCTGGTCAGATCGATCTTGAACCTCCACATCCACTTCCACAGCTAGATCTGACCTCATTGCCTCAGATACTTAGGTATGTATGTCTTTCGACCTCACCAAAAATCCAAGAATCCTTCAATACCTGCACCAGTAGCGGAGAATTAGTTGGAGAGAATTGTATAAAAAAACAAAAAGGAAAGTGTCCTGTTCTCCGCGAGCGTAGATAGGATAAACGTCTACTCACCAACTTCCGAATCCGGCAAAAGAATGACGACGTCGACAAGACTCGAACTTGCGCACGCAGAACGTAAGTGATTTCTAATCACTCCCCTTAACCACTCGGGCACGACGTCAATTTGAATGACGACGATCACCCAATTGCCCTCTCGTTCGGCGAGTCCCTGTGCTTCTAGTCTTGAGACTGCCCGAGCACCTGTTTAAAGCGGTCTAATTACAATAGTACAATTGAGAGGTATGTAGGTAGGGAGAACAATTTCATAATTTCATTAAGCTATATTAACTGCAAAATACTCTGTGCCAAGTGACGAAAGTGTAGACAGAAATCCACACAATCCCCAACGAAAGCTTGCTTTTGAAAAAGAGAAAAATGAAAAAAAAGGAAGAGCAACTCAAGACATTGAAAAGGAAGTGTTCTTCCGGTTCAGTGAAGGGAAGAAGACGACATAGCGTATGTGTGAGGGGAACAAGGACACCGAAAGTGTGTACGATTCGTGTCAGGCTCTGCCTTTCACTCACTGGTCGAGCATGAACCTCGAATTCAGTGATTCACAAAGGGTGGTTGCTATACTAGCATACTGAAAGTATGCTGCAACCGAGAGGAGGAGTGTGAGGAGAAGGGGAGAAGTAAAAGAAGAGGATGAGAGGTATAGGGCGGCAGAGGACGGATAAATCCGACCCAGAAGGAAAAGAGGAGGGAGAGGGCGGGTGACAAGAACGACAAACAACCTGAAAATAGAACCACAAAACAAACACAAGGTGAGGTATGATGTCGTGAAGGCTCATTATCGGCACTCGTAAAGTCGTGAAAACGAAAAGAAAGGAAGGGAAACATAGTGAATGTAAGTTCACAAAATCCGAGACATGCCCATGCTAAAGCAATGAAAAGAAATATGAAATCGTAAAGCAACGAGAAAAGAAAACAAGGAAAGAAGTGAAACCGCGATAAGAAGCCAAATGCAGAAGGCAATGAAACCCGAAGATAGCAGCCACTCGAACAGGGCAGAGATGATAGCGCTAGATAAAAATTTAATGCAAATTTTGTTATTTATCCCTTAAATGGATTTTGGATAGCTGATGTTGGGAGCTTGACTTGCACAGTGAAAGCCGAAATCAAATAAACTCGAATACCGTGATGAAGGAGGGTCCTATTCACATCTACCACCACGTAGATATGTGCCGCTAAACCCCTTATTTTGGGACAAAGTCACGATCCTTCTTTTGCGCAGCTTCAACAAGCGCTGCGTAGTCAACATCGTAGTTTTCTGGGCGTCTCCTATCCTTTTTCACTTTTGGAGTCGTCACCTTACTTTTGGGTGGCGAGGCAGGCTCTTCTGCCATTTCGGGGTCGATCTCTTTCCCAATTAACTTCCTCGACAGCTTTCTGCCCATGCCACCAACCCAATTGCCAATATCTCCAAGTGTGGGGCTGTTTCTTTCACTGTTAGATCTGAACTCTGGGAAACTGACATAATCCCTAGCAAATGTGCTTGAAGAGCCGCTTTCACTGCCTCCTGGGGTGCCTGGAGGACTTTGCACGCTGCCACTGGAGCGGTGGCTGCCGAGACTGAGGGTAGATCCGGTCAAGAAAGACGACGTGCTTGTGGTTCGGATGTAGGTGGGTTTGAGTCGGGGGGTGTTGGCTGGACTTCCCCGATGGCCCCGAGGGGCGTATAACTCGCTGGCGTCATGTGGCAGGGTGGTAGAGATTGTAGAAATACTGTTCACACTTGGGGGACGGGTGGGGAAGTTCAAGCTCATGGGACGTTGAGAGGAGGCGAAAGTTGGTGCCCCAGAAGCTGCTGCAGACCTTGCCTGTATTCACAAGTAAATTTTCAGCAATTTATCGACAATAAAACAGACAGAAAGCCACAAGGTGGAATGGACTCACCAATGATGCCTCCCGCTTTGCAAGGGTGTGAAGATAATGTCCTGGCGGAAGGGAGGCTTCATCATAGATGACGCTTTTAGGACGACTGCTCCTTGCTGTGGCCTCGGTCCTTGTGGATCGGACGCTCGAAGCCGGGGTCGCCCTTTTTCCTGCCTCGGCGGTTTTGTTTTTTTGCCGAAGAGATTCAGAAAGGCCATTTTCGACACTTCTAGCGAATGATTCCGTGGTCGGGCTCTCGACCACCTCAGATAATGCCTGTGGTGGGTTCAATGCCACTTTCTCCAAATCAATTGCCAGAGCGTCGCAGACGCAGGGTGATAGACAGCCACAGCGTGGGGGGACTGCACCATTGGTACTGTCATGGCTTTCCTCAGCCATGGCTCCCTGTGCCTGCGGCGGAGTAACATTTCTTCGGAAAAGACTGGCGGTGCTCAACTTATGTCTGAGGTTCTGGATGCTCGACGTCTTGGAGACCGTTCTTTGAATGTGATGTAGTGACTCGTTCATGGCACTACTCTGTGATGGCGGACGCACGGGAGAATTCTCTTCTGCTGGCATACTGATCTTATTGAAAGACAGAACTGAAAGGTTGGCCAATGGATCAGTGTTTGTGTGGGAAGGAGTAAATTGGCGGGGTGAAGGCAGTGTGTTGTGTGGCTGTGGAGGAACGAGGATGCTGGTTCCAGGTTGTGCAGCGTGGAACAAAGTTGAATTCTTGCGTGTGTTGGAATGTTTACGCCGCCAGGCTATTATGCCGCAACTACCGCATTCATCGATAGTGGGGCTAGCGCAAATTCGACGAGACTAGCGAATTCGTATACTCGTCGAATTTGAAGTCACGCATGCCACAGATTCCAGCCGTAAAAGAAAAATCACAATCGACATCTGGACCTAGGTAATTGTGTGAAAATGCAAATGTATTCCGTTTCGTGTATTGACGAGTGTGGTCTATTATTTACACTATTTTCACTGTACTGTACATTTTCGCCGAGAACAACCTTTTGATATCTAACTACAATGAAGGAGAATTCCTAAATTTGAATATGAATGGCATCAACGGGAGAACTTCTCGGAAGTAGAGGGGAATGTCAATTGGTATCAAGGTACTGCCTAGTAATACAGCACAAGGTAATCATACAATTTAATGAATGTCTGTAGCTAGCTCGGAAGGCATCAATTAAGTAGAAGAATTTAATGGTATCATTGAATTCAAGATTAGGTATAGCATAACAGCAAGCCATCAATGCATATTAAAACATGCAAATCCATGGAATATCAAATTATCAAAACGTCAAATCAAAGAAATACAGGACTATCACTTTCTAAACTGTTCTCATAGCTAAACAACAACACCTGAGATGCGAAAAGTACTGTAATATAGCATGCGCACCGCTAAATCAAAGGTCGCCAAAGCAATAACACTAAAGACCGCCACGGGTATAAAGCAACAGAGCATGAACGAAGAAATAAGGAAACGTATTCAGGAAAGTTGAGGCCGAAATTGGCGAAAGAGAATTATTCGAAGGATTGCGTTAAATGTTTCCGCCGAAGTTGTAGTTTGGTGCAATGTGGTTGCTCGAGATGCCAGATATACGACCAAGAATGGGACGAAGCAAAGCTCGACTTATCTGAAAACGATGATGTCTTCTCCATATTCGTTTTGGGAGATAAAGAGGTTCTTTTCAATTGCTGGACGTTGTTTGCGCCTAGACCGATATCGAGAGCTTTGAGCTGTTAGGACTTCAATCCTTTCTGCGATGGGGTCTAACAAATGCCTATAATCGCGCAATTTGGCTGTTGCCCAACTCCATATCCCTTTCTCATCTCGGCGAATGGAGCCTTCGAATAAATCCACAGCTGGACTATATCGGGGGTCCAGTCTCAAATCATTTGCCCATACGTAGTCATCATGATATCTCCCCTTCACATGCACTCTATATGCCTCTGTGAAAGATTGTGTGGCCTTGTCGAAGAATGTCCTTGCGCTGATGATTTCATCGATGTTGGAAATGCACCGCGGTCCTGGATAGACGGAATCGGTGCTACGACACGATCGAGGAGATTCAAGAAACTGTCCGAAATTGAACCTTATATTTGATTCAGGAACCTCAGTCAGACTATCGTGAAAATGCTGATTTTGAGCTTCTAGATTCTCCTCTAAGGCCGATTGGGCTAGTCCTTCTGTATTGTCCTCAATTTCCGTGCGTGGTATGCCAGTAGCAGCAATTGCGCTCTCAATGGATGGGGCGGGCCTAACAAAGTGCTGGTTCCAGATGAACCCTGGAGACTATCATTGTAAACAATCAGTTCTGCATGGAAAGAGATGGGCCATGTCGTGGGCCATCGTGCTTACCCAAGAATGCCTTCTGTCATTTCTGGCCAGGACCATTAAGCGGTCATTTGGTCTTTTACGCCCATCTTCAGAGACAATGTTTTCTGAAGAAATTTCTGCCTCTGCCTCGCACTCGACGATTGCGTTGTCCTGCATGAGGAATTGGGGTGTTTTTCCAGAAGTAGCGCTTTTCTGGCGGGCCCACCGTACCGTAGTCTCGTACCGTACCGCTCCCAATGGGTTGGTCCTGGCTTTCCAGAGTGCCCCGAATGTTTTGAGGGTGGATCAGCCTGACCACAGGCTCGATAAGCTCTTGCTGGCCTAGGCTTGTGGCCTTCCTAACAGCCCCGGCTCTGCTGTTCCTGGGAGTGTCCGGTCTATTTCCGTTAGCGCTTGAAGTTCAATGATAGCGCAGCGAAGGACAAAACCGCTCCCCGGGCCAGGAGGTTCGCTCGAATTGTTACGTTGACTCTGGTGGAAGGTAAACAAATTCTTAAGGTCCAGGGCCTTGGAGAAATGTGGACTGATCTGACTGACCTGTGCTAACGATCAGCGCGGAGCACGTGCTGAAATTCAAGTCGAGTGGATTAAGATGCTGATGCGGAAGGGCCTTTATAGGGAGCGGCAATCGGTGATTTGGTAATTTCCGTAGGGCTGAGTGATGTGGCAGTGTAGGCTCGTGCCCTATCGTCGAGAAGGTCGTGAAGGGATTGTGCTGTGGGGGTCTGGATAATGGAGGCGCTTGACGCTCTTGTCAACACCGAAACCTCACAAATGGCGGCGCCAGCGCCAAGTCAGTGCGGTAGTCCACAATCATTGCGCGCTCACGATTACTACGTTCGTATTGGGGCCCATCTCGTGCCCAGGGCATGAGACTAGTGCCCAGGTAGTCT